GAAGAGTATGCCTAGGACAAGCAGATAATACAATAGCAAACCAAGGTTTGCAGTAGCTGATAAGCCTGCAGTGAGCTTTTCTTGGCTGCAGTCTGAAGCCCGAAGTCTTTCAGGAATGAGGTGTTGGATGGAAGCAGCGACGTTCCCACACCTCTTCTGGAGCTGCTGTTGCTGGATGACCAAACTCGGGATGGCTTCGTGGACAAGATCATGAAGCGAGACGACTGCGAGCTCTTTGTGTTCTTTGGCACCAGCTTCGCGCGTCACCTCTGCTCCTAGGTGGCACTGGAAGAGACCAGGGACGGCGTCAGTTACCGTTTGCACCTGAGCTGTTGAAGAACCGTTCGAAATGCCCGTGGCTGAGGCAACTGCAGGCAGGAGTGGCTTCACAAGTGTATGGCCAAGCTGAAAGCGCCGGGAGCAAGCACGGAGTCTTGGAAGCAATCTGTTGTGTTGTCGCAAACCCTGCCATGGTGAAGCGGCGCAGGGCTCACTTACACCGGTGGGTTGCAGTCAGCGCGGCTTAAGTGGGTGGCAGAGAGATTGGTTTTCAGTAATCAGTTGCCGTCTCTTTGCTAGTGCCGCAGACGAGGTTTGGAGCTTCGGGTTTTGTTCTGGAAGATGACGGGAGTCATGATGCTGATGATGACGATGTTGATGATGATGATGATGGTGATGCTGATGGTGATGGTCCAGTGATGCTGATGGTGATGGTCCAGTGATGCTGATGGTGATGGTCCAGTGATGGTGATGGTGATGGTGATGGTGATGGTGATGGTGATGATGATGGTGGCGATGGAGTTGTTGCTGCTGCGGCTGCTTACAATGATGATGATGGTGATGGTAATTATGGTGGTTGTGAACCTGAACACGACCCTTCTGGACAAGAAGCATTACCACCACTGCTGCAAAACAAGCTTTTGTGGGGACATCCGAGGAGTTCTACCACTTCCGGAAGCGAGGTCTTGTGCTGAGCCAGATTGCAAGGTGCCTGGCCTTTCTAACGTCTTGGGCATGGTATCCCCCTCCCCCTCTCGTAGACAAGGATTGCCTGTGCATGTCCAAGGCTTCAGAGTCCAGGTGCTTATATTTGGTCATTGAGGGGGGACAACCATGCACATGCATTGCACATATATATATATACATAAATATATAGATTTGTAGAGTATATGCTTATGTCTGTATATATGTGTATGTATGTATTTATGTCTGATAAAAGTACGATAAATACATCAGCACACATGTAACAGTACATAGCCAACTAAAAGCCTGTGGCCGCAGGTATGGGAAGGCCGAACCTGGCTGGCGCGACGTCATCGCGCCTTGATTGGCAAATATTCAAGCAGCCGAAGCCAGTTTATTGTGACCTATGCGCCGCGCAGGAGTATGCATTTAGCGTAGTTTTGCAGCATGGCGATGTTGCTGACGTAGGGCTTCACGAATGACAGAAAAGTTTGCTCCTTCATGTGGCAAGAGCTGGGGCAGACAGCGGCCATTATTCCCATGAGTGACCGTGCTACCCGCCACTAGTAGTAGTAGTAGTAGTAGTAGTACTACTACTACTACTACTACTACTACTACTACTAGCACTACTACTACTACTACTACTACTACTACTGCTACTTCTGCTTCTTCTTCTATTACTACTACTACTACTACTACTACTACTACTACTACTACTACTACTGCTACTGCTACTGCTACTGCTACTGCTACGACTACGACCACGATCACGACCACGACTACGACTACTACTGCTACTGCTACTGCTACTACTACTACTACTACTACTACTACTGCTACTACTTCTACTACCCCTACTGCTACTGCTGCTGCTACTACAGCGACTACTTCTACTATACTACCGCTACCACTACCACTGCCACTACTATATCTTCTTCTTATTCTATTACCACAAAAGCGCTGCTAATACTGCCATCACCACTACTACTGCTACTGCTGCTTCTAGGAGTAATTTTAATCATAGTCATACAGAGAAATCGTATTCGTTTCATTCAACGACGACTAGCACAACTTGTCTCACGACTGCCGCAATTGCACCCAGGCCAAGACGAACAAGAAGGGAGCTGTGCAGACGTACCTGTGGCACCCGAAGACCCAATCAGCTCCGTGGCTATGGAAGAAAGCCTCTGGATTTGTAATTTAGTAGGGTTCAATGCCATCGCAGCCACATGATTGATCAGCTGCTTCGTCCTTGGCCGGCTCAGTGAGGGGTGAAGGTCTTTAACCACGCGCTCAGACTTAAACCCGATGATGAGGCAAGCAGCAGTTTTTATAAATTGCGATTACCCGAGGCCCTTGGTCAGGTTTAGATTCCAGTCTCAAAGTGGTGTGCCCATGTGCCTTATGCCATGAACCTCAAGTTCAAAACCCGTTGTTTGTCCGAGTTGTGAGAGTGTAATCCTCTTCAAGGCAGGATCTTGAACGCAAGGCGACCTAGCGAAACCCTAAACCCTAAACCCTAAACCCCTAAACCCCTAAACCCTAAACCCTAAACCCCTTCTTTGTAGTAGCCCCCAGGAGTTCCTCGAGAAAGCGTTGTGGTCGACCGAGCCGGAAGAGCTCGCGCTCATCCCACGCTTGGAGTTTGCAGACGGCGTGAGCAAAGTGAGCCAGCTATTGAGCATCTATCCGAAGGATCAGACGACGAAGGACCAGACTAAGGTTTTGAGAGAAATGTTTACTTTCTCATGAGTTGCAAGCTGCAGCTATGTTTCAGACGGCAGTCTTAGCCATGCTAGCGTGTTCATCTATATGCTGAAAGCATGAGGCGTGCATACTTGATATCTGAACGATCTGCTACCAGTGACCAGCTGCAGTCGAACACCACGCGATGGAGCATGCCACCACAGCCAGGACACTGGCTCAGATGCTTGGGGCTGGGAGGTGATCCAAGCTGCAGGCGCCTATAGCGATCTCCAGAAGGAAGTGGAAAGACGTTTTGCAGAGCTGCGCCTCGTCGGCAAACACGCGGGGTCTGTGGTTGTAGAGTTTAGCAGTTCAGCGCGTGTGTGTGTACACACATGTATACATATCTATCAACACATACACACGTGTGTGTGTGTGTGTGAGTTCCCTGGGTCGGCGCCCGCCGTCCGACACCCTTTCTCTCCATTTCGCTTTCTGCTGCGAGGTGAGCAGGTGCTCGGTCGTTCCTGGGTTTCTGCTGTTGACCATTTGGCTCATTTGGGCCGGCGCGTTGTGTGGAGCGGTGGCATCGTCTCTGCACATTCTTGGCTGCCTGAGTGTACGTGATGAGACCATGCCGATTGCATGGAAGTTTGGGATCACGGGATACCACACTTTGAACGCCTTTAAACCAACTTCGGCTGTCTAGACACGTCCTGCAAGATCTACTCCTCCCCACCCTCGCATGCGGGTCGACATTCGGTGGATGAGATGAAGTACACCCCTAAACCCTAAACCCTCGGCAGGCATGCCGAGTTCCAATGTTTTCACGCCGACTGTCGAACATGGATCCTCGCCTGGCTTGTCCGAGTTGTGAGAGTGTAAACCCTCAACCCTAAACCCTAAACCCAACTCGTAGCCTTGGATGCCGGCGGTGGCGACAGATTTGTCTTCGGGACTCACCAGGCGATGCCGGCTACAGACTGCACTTTGCGACAATGCCGACTCCGACTCACAAATTCACAACTCTTCATGGGCTGGTAGAGAAGGGGCGTGAGAGAATGATGTGCAACGAAATTGTGCCTGCAAACGTCCTGAGATTGGGATACGGGGCATCTTTTGCCATCATCTGCAAGTGAACCGATGAAATTTGTTATTTGCATACCGTTGGAAGTGAATTCATTGAAGCCTGCTTGTCCTGCTCCTTCCCGGCATCGGCCGTGTATTGCGCTTCAATGCTGATATCGTGCCCGAGATCACGAAAAACAAAGGGCATGGGTGGTCCGCTGAGGAAGGCGCCGAAAACGAAAGCATTTGTGGAAGAACAGCAAAAGCAGCTGGATAAATTGGTCCAGAAGCGGAAAAAGACGAAGTTGATCTGGCCGCCAGCAGGACCTAGCCATCGAACTGCAGGACAGACACGGCCAGTCCTAGTTTCAGTGCTTCTGCTTGCATGCTTCTTTTGCTGTAGCTTCTGTTTGCAGTTCGTGCCGGGAGTGGTCCAGCAAGCGGCACGGCGGGTGCTAGCAAAAGTTCGAAAAACAGACCGGCATCACGGTGCCGAAGAAAAGCTTCCTACAGGATGTTCATGCATGCGGGAGTTCATTTTTGTCCGGGAGTTCTGGCCCTGCCGGGATCGCACCGCTGAACGTGGGTGAGTGCTTCCGATGGCTTTATGGGTTCAGCTGGGATGAAAATTTATTTTTTGCAAGAATGCCTGTTGACGAGATTATTGCAAAAATTGACACAGAGAATTTGCTTTGGCCGCCGTGGCAGGAAGTCTGCCGTTTGAAATCGTGGTTGGGATCGATGGGTCAACCGACGGGAGAGCCACGTCTGGCCTTTGCTGCTAGGATGGTAGCAAGTCCGAGCATTCCATTGTACCTATATTCCTTGTGGCTGTGCTGCTTTGTGTTAAACAAAGTGTTCCGTGAGCTGCCTTGTAGCAGTTTGTTCGGGTTAGGTTGGTTTGGCTGCCAGGCCTCTTGGGATTTGTGCCTGGTGTCTGACCGTGACTTTTTCGGATCACTGCCTGCCCTTTGCGAGTCGCGAGAGTCGAAACCCTTTATCGTAACCCTTTGCCCTGTGCTACCCTAAAATATGTTTTTCGTAATCCGTGTAATGCCCTTACAGCAACCGCAGCAACCCCTGTAATGGTATTAATTGCCAGGCTTGTGTCCGAGTGTGAGTGTCAAAAAAATTGCACCAATCAGTCAAGCTTCTACACGTGTATCTTGAGATTCCAAGGCCGGACCCCAGCTTCTGTGACAAGGTGGATGACCCCGAGGCCGAACCAAGCTTGATCCAATGTAGGGCATCGGAACACTTAGAAGATGGTTTCGGAGCATAATTGCAGTACAATAGATTCCTGATTATATCGGGCTAACAATGTTGGTAGCTTTTATTGTGTATATTTAAGGCATGGCTCGACAACCGTGAATGCTAGAGGCTCATGGTCAAAATGTGTTGCCAACGGTGCTTTGTAGTTCAGGCTTGCAGCAAAATCCAGGATTCCGGAAGGGTTTTGCCAGATTTTGCCATTATGCCCGCTTACTGCCGAGAAAAGGAAACGTGCGGTTGTTGCAGGTGGAGACGCTGCTCACCTCTTTGGGCAGATCGGACAATGCAGCCGCTGCCATGAAAGTTCTGGGGCCCCACGCAGGCAAGGTCAAGCAAGCAAAGGAAGCAGCGACTCGGAGACAGATGAGCGCAGATCGTATTCCGGGGTTTGCATTCGGGTTTCTGTGTGCGTTGTGCTGCTTTAAGAGCATGTGAAGCCCCGGCACCAATGAGGCGGAGATGCAGAACACTCAAAGGTTCCAGGCAGCTGTTTTTCCAATCCTCCACTGAGCACCTTCGGCCGGGCTCATTCAGATGGACCCTTACGAGAGGTGATTAGTGCAGAAGCCTCAACTCCAAGGTGCAACATAGGTCACGGAAACATAAAAGTGCTGAGGGCCCACCTGAATTGCCAGAAACGTGCCCATACGAGGTGTAACAGAACTGAGATTGAATGCTGCGGAACGACCTCACCGAACCGGTAGTTCAGCCACTCAGGTGACAAAGATGATCGCACAGCTGAGCCCGCCACAAGCCAGAGCATCTCGGCAGAGCATTGCTAAAAATAGAACAATAGAAGCGACAATTTTGGAAAGCTGGATAAAAGTAAGATACACGAATGCTATGTAAGATTCCGTGTCCACTGACAAGTTAAATGGGTCGCATCAACAGCAGTGAAAAGGACGACGACAGCAGCAGGGACTCCTGCCACACCTACCACCATGATGACGAGCAGCACAACGACGACTACCACTCCTGCGACTGCTACTATGTTTCTCCTGCTACTTCTATGCGTACCAATGCTGCTAATGTTACTTTAAGTCTTATTGTTGTTTGATCAATATCACTACTACCTCTACCACTGCACATACTACTATACAACTACGACGGCGACGAGCTGCTCCTGCACCTGCCCCTGCCCCCGCTTCTGCTGCTGCTACCGCTACTGGCACTGGTACTGCTGCTGCTGCTGCTGCTCCTGCTCCTCCTCCTGCTCCTGCACCTGCTCTCCTGCTGCTGCTGCATCTGCTACTGCTGCTGCTGCCACTGCTACTGCTACTGCTAGTAGAGGTGCCACTACTCTCCTTAGCATGAAAGTACGCGTAGAACATATCTGCAGTCATGGCGGGTGGCCGGAGAAGGAATCACTGCAGAAATTTGAGCGGTTTTTGATTGTGCCGTGAACCACGATTTCTGGGTAAAGGTTTGCCGCCATGCAAGAGAGCACCACGAGACGAAGCTTAGTGAAACGTGTGGCTAAGCCCTATCAGCATGCATAGGTATATGATTTTAAATGTATATGCATGCTTTAATATACAGACATGCATACGTGCAATCACGTATTGTCATTCTTTGTGCAGGAACAGGGGGGCCACCTATCATGGTGTAGTGATTACGTGCTTGTAAATATTTGACCATCTGCTACTTTTGGTAGCTACAGTTCACGGTTTTGCGTGCGCAATATCCTGCAACAATCCGCCATTACTCAGAACAGTGAAGTACGTAGTGAAGAGCCGTTCGGTTCGGCGTTGCGACTCATCAGGCATCAAAGAAGCACCTAAACATGGACACGCGAAAGCCAACATCCCCACAGAGGGGATAGGTTCCACTAGTTTATGTTCATGGCTTCTTGGTCCATTGTCTTTGGAGAGCGAGGATCAGCTTGAAATTGAGGTGCTCATCCGCCAAGTCATGTTGCCGAAGAAGGCAGGAGTTGGCCTGCAAGTTGCCGGCGATGTGGCTGCAGCGAGTATGTAGAAAGTTATTTTAGTAACGTAGTCTTCGCAAGATATCAACCAAGTTCTAAAGCCTATTGTAGTATGATATTCACATACTGATATTCTTTTCCTGCCCCAGCTCGGCCACTCGTCATATTACCTACTAGTCTGGGATCCGTTTTTTCAGGGTCACCCATTTCTCATACTCCTTGTTTTGACTGGACCAGGGCTTGGGATTTTGGAAGAGCGACTGCGCTGGCTCTCACTCTGGCTTTATGTCTTCTTTGTTTCTCTGCATGTGCGACCTCTAGTATATACACACGTACTTCATTCATATATATATATATTACATATATGTGTGTACATATAGATGCATGCATGCATGCATGCATGCATGCATGCATGCACACATACATGCACACATACATGCATACATACATACATGCACGCATACATGCGTACATGCATACATGCATACATAGATACATATATACATAAATACATACATTGATTGATTTAAATTGTTTATGTATTGAAAATTATATTTACATCTGAATCTAGTGTATAAACCTATACATATGCATGTATTATGTATTCTGTATCTGGTATTCTGCATGTATGTGTATGTAGAGTGACGGGAAGAGTAAGACAGGCAAAACCCAACAAACATGACATGATCAATTTAACGTAATGGCAACACATGCTGTCCGTGCAATGTATGTTCAGGCATACATGTCTGCAGATGCACATACCTACGCATACTTACATGCAAGCGTGCTAAGCCTCCGACTAATGCATGCCCTCCAAGGTCTCAAGAAGATCGTGGACTTGCGAATTCCTGACCCGTCCGATCCTTTGCGTTGCTGAGTGACCCTTGCACATGAGCCGTCAAGATGGGCAGAACGTGCATGCAGAACGACAGCCACATTGTGAACAGCACGAATACTACAGGTTTCGACCAATGGTTGTCATGAACACCATCATCACGTTAAGAACGATGTTAACCATCATCATCAGCATAGTCATAGTCATTATGATCTTCTTCTTCTCACGCAGCCAGGAAGTCCGGTCTAGCGGGCACCGTTACATAGCATGCGATGTAACGGTGCCTGCTAGTCATTATGATCATCATCATTATCACCACCACCAGCAAGCGGCCTGGGCAGTGCCTTTATTCTTTAGTTTCCGTGTCAACGTGCATCCACTAAACTGGGCAGCAATGCCTTCCTCGCATGCGCCCTCAGGCTGGAGCTGTACACGTTCGTGTGGAGGAAAGGGGAGTGTCAGCGAGATGTGGCAGGCGAGCGTGTTGAGTCTTAGACCCAATTCTTGCACAACAGCCACTATTTTACAATTCTCATCGAAAGCCAATGCCTGGGCACATCCGAGTGCTCCTGCACAAAATTCCCTCAAAGAACAAAGCAGCAGGCAACATCCTGTCGAAGGTGGCCACATCTGGCGAGCTCGGGCCTCACACTCCAGGTCTCACCTGTGTGTGTGTGTGTGAGTGTGTGTGTGTGTGTGTCTTCGGCTGTAAGCTTACTAGAAGCGTTGCAGCGGTTACTAAGGTTGCTTTGCAAGTTTAGGATCAGGTGGTTCGCCCTTGCAAAGATGTTTGCCGTGTCAGACTTGTCAGGAAGTACCCTCAGCCTTGAAGCTGATCTGGGGGTCTCCGAAAATAGGGGACCCTACTATAATAGCACCCTAAATAGTAGGATCCCTATTATAAGGACCCCCAAATAAGGTACCCTCTATTTTCGGAAACTCCCATTTGTTGCCAAGGTTCCGTCCAGACGATGTGCGTTGCTTGAAGTTCTGCTGGTACGTTGCCTGTGGGCTTGTCACGATTTCAATTCCGGAGCCCCTCCTGTTGCCCCCCAAGGCTTCTACTTCGACTACTTCGACAGAACGGACAATCAAGATGACCAAGCTTATGTGGCGCAGATCATGCTGGATCAGCTCATTGAACAACCGGAGTGGGTGCTGCCCTACCTCCCCAAGGTGGTCTCAAAGCTTGCCATGGTGCCAGGGGCGACCAACAAATCGGTACAAGCGCTGAAATCCTGCACCTCAAACGTTTCTCGGTTCAATCTTGATGGGGAGTCGTTTCCGGGCAGTGGCAGATAGGCGCAAACCACATATCATGTCACCCAAGGTCTCTGACGTCGTGGAGGCCCTCACGCATGTGGTCCAGGCTTCTCGCCTGGCGGCCAGAACAGATCCCAAGGTAAACAGGGAAGGAACCGATGGGCGAGTGCTCGCTGACCTGATCTCTTTGATTTCCTTCGGCCAATTCACGGAGACGGTGAACTCCGTCGCGCGAATGTCTCTGGAGGATTGTGATCCTGCAACTCTGAAGACGTTCCTGCGGGAGGCCTGCGAAGCCGTGCGTGCACTTTGGGGCCATGGATATAGGCGGCATAGGCCTAACATCAACCAAATTATCGGGCACCGCATAATTCAAGCGCCCAGATTTCAAGCTAACCCTGACCAGTGCAGGCCTTCCAGAGGTGGGAGGACGCCGTAGCCGGCAAAGACGCCAATGCCAAATCATACCTCAGCTGCGCTTTAACTGCTTGGGTGAAGCTGCTCCTTACTTTGCAAAAAGGAGACTTCGCAACAATACCTAGATGGTCTCCTGCACCGGCATGGTTTCATGCCCTTATAAAAACCAACAAACAAATGAAAAAAACAATCACTATACACACCTATATGTACAGTTACATGAATATGTTCTATGGTATGTGTAGGAGTGTGTGCAATAATTTAAACGCGACAATAATATCGATACTAATATCAGTAGTAGTAGTAGCAGCAGCA